GGTGTATTTTAAATGTATTTATTTAGTGGTTCATTTATGTATTTATGCTTTTATTTGTAATTATGTCAGTTTTGGTCCTTCATACTGCAGAAGCCTGATAATCATCCATTCATTCATATCAGGTGTGTTGGAGTAGAGAAACAGGTAAAACATGCAGGGCTGCGGCCCTCCAGGACCAGGATTGCCCACCCCTGGTCTAAACCTTAAAGTGGTTGACGTGCCTACCATTCAAATACAAAAAGTCAAAGAACGTTATTTTATTTTTATTTTTTTAGGAAACCTTGCATAATATATGTGATTCCACCCAATATGTCACATAATTGGCATATTTTCTTGTGAACTTGGCTCAGCCAAAGTGAAACAGGAAGTGACATCAAAGAGTAACTCTTTAAGAAAGAAAAATCTCTGGTCTTTGTTTGTTGAAACAATATTATTTGAACTCTGACTCATCATCTCTGTCTGATCTAGACTCAGAATAATCTAAAGAAACACCTGATTCTTCTCCACAGTCTGTGGTGTTAGTTCGTTTTATCTGTTCACGTGCAGTTCTTCCCCTTTGACATCACTTCCTGTTACTCCACGTGCAAATACCTTGACAACTGTTCATCGCAGCAGTGGGGAAGTTATTTTTGCAATTTGTATTAATGTTACATTTCCAATAATGCCTTTATATTTATTCCAAAGATGTCGTGACACATTCACCTTAAAGGCTCGCAGCTACATCCAAACCAGATTTTAGCTCAATTTCTGTATAAGTGACTGAGTCATGGCCTTTTCTGAAGATGGATTAGCTGTGGCGGACACCTTGAATTGAGTTAACTCTAAAAGTGAATCAGTTGTAAAGGTACATCCAGCATTTACATTCAGAGAGTTTCATTGAAATCTGTCCAGGGGTTCATAAGATATTATGCTAACAGCCAATCAGGGCTGACCCAACAGTTAATGCTAAACTTTTAAGTAAAGACATAATGCAGAATGTGTTGAGGCTGATGCTCTGCTACTACTGCACCAGATTTTACCACAAAATATTGATTCATGAGACATTTTGCTAACAGTGCAGGCAATCTAAGAAACACAGACACCAGTAGAAACAAGTTATAATCCACATATCAACTATTGTGGAAGTGTTTAAAATAAATCACCTTCTGCGCTGAATGAAAAGAAAGCTAACTTCTAAAAGGAGGGTACTTAAATACAATGACCCTGAAGCTGAGAGGCTTTTAGTCCTGGTCCTTCCTCTAATCAAGGCCAGAACGTTGCTCAGAAAGCCATGTTTTGGCTGGTTTCCTCGGCCCAAGCTTCAAACAAGGCGAGAAACTCCCCGGAGCGACTTCACCCGTCTCATTTTCTTAAACAAACCCGCCGCTCCATTTACTGAGCAATCACGTTTTAATCGACGTGCTTCTATGTGCCAACGTCGTGTTTCGAGCGGCGCGAGTTTGTTTGAACCGTATCCTGTTTACAGGATGGAGTGGAGAGAGCGCTGCACCGTTACACAGCTCAGACACACACACACACACACACACACACACACACTGGATACATGTTATGTTCTATTTTACTTAATGTTTGCTTATTATCGCCTCCACAGAAAGACTGAGGCTTGCAATTATGCTTTTGCCCATGTGCGTTTGTGTGTGTGTGTCTGTTAGTAGAATAAATCATGAACCGATGAAAGGATTTGAACAACACTCTCACGTAATACTCACTGAATGTTCCTCTACAGCTGATTAGCTTGTGGGGCCAACCCAATTCAAGATGGCTGCCATAAACAACAGACCATGGAAAACACACAAACGACTAGAACTTGGTTAGTTTTACTGATATTGAGCTTAAATTTTCTGAGTCACTTATTGATCTTTACCTAAATGTCCAGCAGTAAGTTCTGTTATTTGTTTTTTTTTTTCAATATCTGTTTTTTAAAATGAAAAATGAATTACCTAAAAAGTACACAGACCCAATAACTGTTAGCAAAATCTCTCATGAACCACTGGACAAAGTTTATGGAAACTCTCAGGAAATAATTAGCGGACTTTCGCCTACAACTGATTAACTTGTGGACCAGTGTTGCATAAAGTACCTCAAAGTGATACTTGAGTAAAAGTACAAGTATCTTATCATAAAAATAATTTGGTCAAAGTTAAAGTCTTCTCTAAAAATATTACTTGGGTAAAAGTCTTAAAGTATCTGATATTTTTTGTACTTAAGTATCAAAAGTAAATTTCTGACACAAAATCTACTTAAGTATTAAAAAGTACTGAGTAAAAGTAAGCAGTTATATTTTCCAAAATGACATTTATTGGGAGGTGACTTCTCCAAAAAATATTTTTGATGATGGGTTGTGTACAAGCTAATAGTGTGTCAGAATGGTATATATTTATACTTCTCATCCAACTACAATTAAACTCACTCTATCCAGGAGACACAATTTATCAGGATAGTATTTTTTTTAAGTAATAACTCAGAATAAAATAGGAGTAACAAGTTTCTACTTCCTACCTTTTTAAAAAATGTAGTGAGTAAAAAGTACAGATAATTGTGTAAAAATGTAATGAGTAAAAGTAAAAAGTACGCTGAAAAATAATTACTCAAGTAAAATACAGATAACCAAAAATTCTACTTAAGTACAGTAACAAAGTATTTGTACTTAGTTACTTTACAACACTGTTGTGGACCTAATCTGCTTCAAGATGGCCGCCGCAGCTGGTCAAGTTTAGCACAAATGAGAGCAAATCCATTTTGCATTTAAAACTGTGGTGTGAAAGGTGGTGGGCGACGTGTGTTCCTATAAATAATGGTGAACCTATGATTCAATAAAAACATACCCAGATATCTCAAAGTGGCTCCTGCTCGTGAGAAATGATCCAAAGTGCTTTTTTGCTTTTTTGTGTTTAAAGCTCGTGTTTACTTTATAACTGGCACCAAACACTCTTTGATCACATTACTGCAGTTTCTTCCTGTTTCCTCTCTGCACGACGTTTGCAGAAGTTAATGGGGTTTTGCAAACTGTTCCAAGCTGTCCAAGCTAATAAACCTGCCCGATTTGAGGCACTCGAAAGGCCTTTTTGAGTATTTTGAGCAGTTTTATTCTATTTGACAGAACGTGTCATCGATGTGGTCTGAAGAGGACTGAACGGTCTCAGTATTTCCACCAGTTTCATCACGCAGCTGAACAAGTTCCCAAAGCTGCCCGCTGCAACTTTTCCATGTCACGTAGGTGCTAAAATGACAGAGTTACCAAAACCTCTCAGGTAAAATTAGACATCCTGAAGCTTTCAAAGTTGGGACTGCTTTCATGTCGTGGGAGTTGTGTTGATTTTTCACAGGAAATTAAAAAAACAAAAAACGAGCAGCTTTGTTCTGTTGTATATCAGCGATCGAGCAGGGGAACTTTCTCTCTGTATGGCTGTTACTGTAGCAACCAAACACACGCTTTGTTTTGGTGCTCGCCTTGCACAGGGAGGAATACAGACGCTGCTGTGAAAGTGGCCCGAGGCTTTACACTGCAAAAACTGTCCACTTAACCGTTTTA